GCAAAGAGGTGCAGCAAAACATGGCTTATTTAGACAAACTTGTCACAGACATAATTCCTACCAGGAACTAATGCCTCTGCTTAATGCTGTTGAGAAAGTTAAATCAGAAAATGAATTAAAAATAAATGAAACAAACCCACACACCAAAACCAGTTAAAGCCTTGAAGCTTACTCCCTACTAGTTAGCACTGCTCTGGCTTTGTTGGATTTGTTTTAGGATGCCTTAATGAATCTGGTTCCCAGGTATATGTGCATTTTCTCTACCTATCTCAGTAAAAGCTGGATAAGGACAGAACCTATAGGAAAGGAAATGTAACATCACAAGTATTCTAGGATTTCTATTAGAGGGCAAAAATGTTATTTATTGAAAATCTCAACACATCAAGAAAAAAATGCTTTTCTGTAAGCTAGTTTTATATCTCCCATGCTTTCTACCTAAAAAGAAAGTTCTGGGGATACAACAGACACTTTCACACCAAGATGAAAACTTTATAGTTCTTTGCACATTACCTGTTCCAGAAACAGCATTCACAAGAGCAGGCTGCACTTGAAGTCCTTAAGAGTTGAATTAGATACCACTGCAAACAAATGCCTTCTCTTCCATATACATTTTGGTTTAAATTTGTAGCTTGACATGAATGCTTGCGCAGTATGACAGTCATACGTATAAAGCACATTACAGGTACTGTACAATCTCCTGGAACTTTTTCTTCGGTATGTCCTGACTCTTGGGGCTTCGCATGCAGAAACACAACACTGAAGAGTCCAAGTCCAGTTATCAGAGCTATCAGAATTTTCTTTTGGTAACTTTTACCCATGCTAATAATGATGGCAGTAACAATACATGGCATATCATTTGATGATATTACTAATAAATAACACAACTAAGCCTACATTTGGGTCTGTAGTATCAGTTAATAAACACGTGGGGATACACTGTATTAGCATTAGAAATGCATTCTAAATACACAAAGGCAGTACTGTGCTTACTGTAAAAACCACTGATGGTTGCAAAATAAAAACCCTCCTGTAAGATATAATGGATGGAGTAAGTAACAAGCAGATGGAAGCAAGAAAAATACATTTAGCTGAATTTTGAGAAGAGCTGGGATGGGGGAAAGAAGAAGGCAGGAGAGACTTTGAGTCAGGACCATACATTCAACTTGCAGGGGCTTTCTAAAACATGAAAAGTTCCTGAAGCAGCAAGGAAATGCAGCAGGGTGATAGATTCCTCAAAGGCAAGCTCAAGGAAGTCTCAGGAGAACATATCAAACAGCACCAGAGTTAGTAATGGAGGTAAATATTTTCCCAGTGGGCTGTCAAATGTGCTGTTCTCAAATGTGATAGATGGGTGCCATCCTGGTGGATGTCAAGGACTGCGGGAGTCCAAATGAGCACAAAGTTTATTAAAAAAAACCAAACAAAACCAAACAAACAACAGGAACCTTTAACCAGAAATAATTATGATAAATTTTAGTCTTTTAAACATACTGATCCACTGCCATCCAACAAGACTTTAACCATGACTTAGAAGTTCATGCCTATTAGCTGAATCCTTTTGGCCTAGAAATTCAGATATAATTATTACACAAAAGCTCTTTCTCTAGATCTCTTGCAGTTCTCAGATCCAGCTGGCTGAAAGCCACCATGAGACCAAAGTTCCTTAGAGCATTTTTCTATTTCCTTGTTTTATTACCCTTTCTTGACAAAAATGAACTCAAATTTTGAATGGAAACAGAGTTAGTGTCCCTCTACTTAAAGGAAAACAAGAGAGGCCAGGCTGATACTTCAATTTACTTGTAAAATGGTGTGTGTCATAGTTCCATCATGGCTGATTTACCTACTCCTGCAAGTGTTTTCCTAAAAGCAATAAACCTTTCCAATGCAAACCTTTTCCTCACAGAGCTGTGACATACCCCCGCTATCCCCGATACATACTGCCTGTTCAAAACAAACAAGTACTGAAAACAGCTTTTTACATCAGTACAGCTTTCTGTATCACTGCAAATACAAACCAAGAACTAGTCACTTTTCAGATACTAGGGTTTTTTCTAGAAAATATAATCTTCTGGAACAGTTACATTCAAGAGATCAGAATAGTCCTCCACAAATAGGTTTGATAAATAACCAGCTAAGTCTTATAGGCAAAAACTTTATTAAATGTGTCATAATAAGCATAGCACAATGATGTGATGTGGTCAAGCTGTGACTGAATATCATATCCACGGGCAGATTGCAAATTATGGGCTTCAAAGTTTTCTTTATGTAAGTTTAGGAATTTTTTACCTTTTTTTTTTTTTAAGATCGTATTGCTTAGAATAGGAATATTCGTCACATGATTATCAACACAGAGCCCAAGGGGTTTTTAATTTAATTCCCCCAATAAATAATTAAATAAATGAAAGTCATTGTTTCCATATTATTCAACAGCTGTGGTAATTTGAAAATTTTATCCAGTTCCTAGTAATGAATGATTGTGGCAATATATTACAGGCTTAAAACCAAACCAGCTCTAAAGCTTCCTGGAAGAAACTTCGATGTTTCAAACAAAAGGACTGTGAGAACCAAGAGTGCCTCGCACAGCAAGAATGCTAGGGGATTTCAGCTTTGTAACTAAGTGGGACCCTGAAATCTGGCATCAACTTTCAAAGCCACACTTACCAGCACCTTTGATCTTGTTATTTGGAATATGACTAGAAGCATAGCATACACTGAAACTAACAAGAATGGGTCAGATTTACTTAGATTGAAGCAGAGAAAACCACCAAATGTGACTGTTTCCATAGCACTTGCAGCACACCTCGTACACCATGCTCAAGTCAGCAGCAGCACCTCCCTAACTCTGCTTTGAGGCTAGAAGTTTTGACACTGAGTTTGAAGAACAAAATACTACTCTGTGGTTGCCTTTCTAACTATGGGGTTTTAGCTATATACATATAAATGTAATGTATAGGTATCACCTGATGCAAATGACAGTCTGAAGCTCAGAAATATGCTTACAGTCATCTTGGGAGCCACTGGTAAAGTGCTACACTTTGCTTTTTCTACTTGACATGATGATAAAAGCTTAAGACATTTACAGCCTGGATTCAGATGTCCAATTTTAGACTTCTAAGTGCTTTTGAAGTGCAATTTTATCCCAGGGGGGAGATCAGACAAACTATACCCAGCATCTATCACTTTTATAAACTCTAATAGGAAACTAGGTGCTTAGCTGAGAGATAGACACCTATGTTATCAATGGCTTCAATTAGGGATCCATCAGGTATCTCAGGTCATCTAGTTTCTCTCTAGGTGCATGTCTAAAAAACAACAACAACAACAACAACAAAAATAAAGTGCCACAGGGAAAATGATAAAATGGTATTAATAAATCCCAAAGCAAGGCAGTGCACAACTTCAGGGCTCATAACTTACAGGACAACCAGATTCTTCACATTTCTGCTCTCTTGAAGGAGAAGCCATGTCTGTGATTACACCATTAAAATGCTTTAAACATACAGCTGGTTTACACTCATTAAAATTCACCCAGCTGCCACACATTCCAAAGCATAAGAACAGACACACATTTACTAAGATTTATTTACACTAACCTGACCAAAATAAGTGCTACTCCTCCAGGATCAAATTCCATCCCAGTGTAAGCAGCCAAGGGGTATTAAACTTGCACCATAAAGTGCCAGAGTCCTTTTATTGAGAATTCAAGTACCATTTAAGAATCATGCTGCTCTTCTGCAGCAAGCGCAAGTCTACTCCTTGAGATTTAGTCTCCCATTTCATGGAAAGGGCCATATGGCCTACTGCACTCTAAGGACATTTCACAGATACACAGCAGACATGGTTGGATGGGCACTTTCTCAAGTTGTGTGGACCAGTTCTCAACAGCTACTTGTCAAGCAGGGCCACATGGCCGAAGGCATTTAAGCATTGCAAGGCCTAAACAAATAAGGAGCTGATATCACATTACTCAGGCAGAGGGCCATCTCTTTTCACAGAGCTCTTCCCCCAAAAGAAACAAACCATAAGCTCCTAAATCACCTTGGTCATGGGGTGCTGCAGAGGGAGCTAAAATAAATTGTTGAAGGTGCATCACTACAACTTCCACACCAAACTAGTGTTCCTCCCCTTCCTGCATTCCCCTGAGGAAGTTACTGCAGCTAGGAGGGTGAACAGAAGGGTGGGATAAGACGTACCACTGAGATTTACATGTATCTTACTCTGCCATGTAGGTATAGCTTCAGGATCACAAAGGCATGACTCCATCTCCTTCAGCAGCTTTATAACACTAAACAGAAGGGGTATTTACAGCCTTTAAAAACTAGTCTTCACTGCTTGAAACCCTACAGCAAGATTGCTTGCCATCTGCCTAACTAAATTGACCATTTGTCCCTACTAGAGGCAGCTGTGCTACTCACAGCAATTAAGGTGGCACAGGAGGGAAGGGATATTTTTGGTTTGGGAAGAGTTGTTTGCAGCACTGACAGCATTGAAACATTCATGATCATCAAGAAGTGACATTCTTAAGTACATAATGAAAAAAGCATTCACCAAACATGAGCCCTTTCAGAAGTTCAAATTAAAGAAGTGTGTTTCTTTAAAGATATCCTTTGACGAGATTTGCACCAAATAAAAGAATTGTGTCTCTGACAATGCAAAGCAGTCATAGTCATTGGCCACAATTTTACAGCATACACATTTGCCTTTTGATACAGGACGTCTGTGAGCTAGCAACAGTAATAAATCTACTGTTAGCACAAATAATTGTCCAAGTTTTAGGTCAAATGCTATCAAATTTATCAGCTCATTAAGATAAAACAAGTCGTTTTGTCATTAGCTTTCTGATTAGTTGTCTGGTTCCAGAACATGTGACACAGTAAATATGTTCCTTTTTTTTTTCCTGTAGCATAGTGTGAATGCTTAATGCCCACTGGTTATCCTTATAAATCACAGAGAGGGAAATCACTGCTTGAGCCCTTGCTAGAAGAGGGGAATGTGATGAATTCAGCATGCTTCAGAGACATTCCTAAAATAGCTAACTGTTCTGTAATTTTATCACAGTATAAGCCCTGACTTAGTGGTTAGGTTCCCTGTTCTGCAACCATACTGGTTTTGATCTTGAGACTTCAAGCTATGCATTGACAGGCTGTTGAGCTGGATACTTTGAGAGTAGTGGTAGTTGTGTTTCATAGGTGGCAGCCTTCCCTATCAACAAACATGGAAAATGGGCTGCAGTCTTCCAGAGCTCTTTGCTGCAGGAAATTCTTCCCTTTTGTTGGGCACAAAGTGAAGCATCCACAGGCACAGCCTTCTGAAGGTGTAAAATGTAGGAAGGAAAAAGTTTTGCCATATGGAGGGGGGTAAAAGAGTCACAGTTATAGAAAGGACGACTTACTCCAGAATTACTGTCTCTAATATTTAGTTTAGTGAAACTGCGTGTCACATTTTGGGTCTTATGCTGGGGTAGCTGTAAAGAAGATAACAAAAAAAAGCAAACCCAAAAACCTTCTTTTAAAATGTTTCACAAAATGCGTTCTTATTTTAGAGTCTACATATCGTCACCAAGCTACCATTGACGATGAAGTGGTTTCCATGGAGATACTAGATACAGCTGGTCAGGTGCGTGGGTACATGTGCTATTATCCAATACCTGGGCTTGGATAGACAGCAGGGAAGGGGAGTGCAGTGGTGGGTGGCAGGTGCGCTTCACTTCTGGGGTCAGAGATTTGTTTCTGAGCAGTCTCCCCCCCTCCACCACCATCGGCTTGCTGCTGCACCCAGAATGCTGGATCCAGACCCATCTGCAAGGGACCCTGCTTTGTTTTCAAACACTAGAAGAACAAACAAGTCAGGGTGTACTCTGGGATTAAAATAATTTTGTTCTCATTCCGTGATTCAGGGTCAACCCAACAACATGTTGTTATTATTATGCACAAAGTCACAGTCTATTTCTACAGTCAAGTGATGAGGCTTGACGGCACCAGTGAGTGATTCCCACCAAAGTGAAGAGCAGTTTTGTCATAGCCAGGTCTCCCCTTCATTTCAAAACATGGCAGGTGCTCACACTGCTCCGGCCTATACAGTTTGTGTGTTGGGTATCATTCAGCAGAGACCCTCTTCCAACTGCCTACTTCCAGCCTATCGACAGGCAGCCCATGACACCTTGGTAGAGTACTTCTCCTGTACTACATGATAAAAAAGATGATGTGCATAAAGTATAAAGTAAAGCAGGTGTACATGACTTTGTAGGCTTTGGAGGACCAACATCGGTCTGCAGGCTTGGTGTGTTCTTCATAAATCAAATTCCTAAGGCTGGTATCTGTCTTTTCAAAACAGGAGGATGCTATTCAGAAAGAAGGACATGTGCGATGGGGTGAAGGCTTCGTGCTGGTTTACGACATCACGGACAGAGGCAGCTTTGAGGAGGTGCTGCCACTTAAGAACTTGTTGGATGAAGTTAAAAAGCCAAAAAATGTCACACTGATCCTGGTGGGGAACAAAGCAGATTTGGATCACTCCAGGCAGGTCAGCACAGAGGAAGGTGAAAAGCTGGCCACAGAACTAGCATGTGCTTTTTATGAGTGCTCTGCTTGCACAGGAGAGGGCAACATTATGGAGGCCTTCTATGAGCTCTGTCGTGAGGTACGGCGTCGAAAGATGGTCCAGGGCAAGACTCGGAGACGGAGCTCCACCACCCATGTCAAGCAGGCAATTAATAAGATGCTTACCAAAATCAGCAGCTAAAAACAGCTGTACTAAGCCAGAGAAGCATTGTAGAGCATACTAGTTTGGAGTAGGGATGAGGCAAGCAGAACACATTTAATTAAAATGGTCAAAACTTTGCAATTAAAAAAAATAAAAAAAAAAGAAAAGACAAACCGCACCACTTTTTTGAGTAACACAGGGTCAGACTTTTTTCTTGGTTTGAAATGTATTTAGCCACACTGCTTCTGGCTAATGTGGGAAAAGAAAAACAAACAAAAAAACTCCAAAGGACGAGATGATTGCGGGGATTGGCACTGACAGAGCGTCTTCTGCTTCTACAAGTCTGGCTCCAATGCCCTGCAAGTCTGTAGTGCCTAATCATTTCCAGCCAGCCAGCTGCTCAGTAGCCATTGGAGAATAAGATTCAGCCCTCATTTGATCAACAGCCGTCACAACGGGTGTTCTCAAGGACTGAATACATGTAAAGGCTGCTGTGTGGTACCAGAAAGTTTATCTGACAGCTTTCACCAGCTCTAAATTGGTGCATTGTGTGCTTTTACTCCAAACTGTCTTTCCTTCTTGTTATTTTTGTCAAATCTATGAGTGCTGATGTTCTTCACAGGATATGCAAAGAATAGAGGAAAGGCCCATTTCATGGAGCGTTTAGCCAGCAAGACACACATTTCAATAGAGCTGGAGTTCAGCTGCTTTTCCAGATCCTCTGAAATTGCAGAATTCGTAAAGAAATGATCAGCTAGCCCGGTGACATTTCAGCATTTCCCCCTCAAAGTGCAGTGCTGTACTTGGGGAAAGGGGAGTGTATGTGTTGGGAAATCAAACTAAAAGAATGACCATATTACTCTTGATTTAGTTATGGGTAGATTTTAGCTTTTGTTTACAATTTTGTTTTGGTCTTACTTCAGTTTACTCTCTTTTATACTGCAGAATTGAATCCTTGGAAAGGCAAGAATTTAAAGTCTAAGCCCAAATGTAAATCAGATGACCTCTACCATATCAGAAGGCCATAATTCCCAGCTGTTTAAACTTTCAGATGTTGCTTGAAGCAATCTATGGTTTAAAGCAGCACAGGGGTTTTTGTGACTTATCTGGCACACTGAAGTGAAAGTGCATTTTATCAGATTTTAGTGCCTGGGGTAAAAGGTGTCCAGTTTTTACTTCTCCCTTCTCCCTCATGCATCTCATTTAAGCCAGCTGTTAACTTTTGCCTCCTGTCTACTTGGTTGTTAACGGTATTCTAAGAGATGCAAGAGCCAAGAATGGAAGATTTTCATTCAGATTGTGCTGATCTCCCACCAGCTGTGTTGCATCCCTTCAGGCATCATGGTGTGCAGCTCAGACTGTCATCATGTAAAACCACAGCCAAAGGCTGGGATGACAAATGGGATCATTAGTAGTATTCTCCTCTGAGGAACAGCCCCCTTTTAGGTACTACTTACAGCTTTATTCTCCTCTGCTTTGTACTTTAAATGGTTCTTTGCCTCTATGAGGAAGTAAGACCAAAAGGCTATCAACCACATCTGTAGAAGAGTGAGGATATCTGGTTGGATAGCACTTTGTACAGTTACAGGTAGCCATATAAGTGGTGAAACAGCCTGGAGAATCAAGCACTTCCATTCCTGTCTACAGAGAAAAGTCCCAAGTCAGGACTTTTTTTCAAAAGGATTATCTTAAAGATACTTTACCAAAGTAATTCCTGAAAACATTTTCTTTTACCCAACCAGCATCAAAGTACATCCCATTCAGACATATATTTTATTTGTGCTGTTTATTTTCTCTGTTTCCCCTATTGTAGACAGTGAAAACTCATTTCACTCCCCTGGAAGCCATGTCTATATTTTGGTCCTCATATTCAGGTATGTTAGCATGCGTCAGCTAGATGCACTGCAGTGGAAACTTCGCCATGTACTTCTGGGAAGAACTCTGACACAACTGGTCCCAATCTATTTGTCATATCTTTTAACTTTTGGGGTGGGGGAATAGAGAGAGAGATTTTGCCAATTTTAGTCCTATTATTAATGCAGAATCAATACAAGCGCAAAAGAAAGGGTAGTGCCTGTTCATGCACGAATAGTCATTAGCTGAAGGTCTGAACTTGCAAATGTGTATCTTACAACATTAGGAGCCAGAGTGAGCGCTTGCAAGCTGAGGCACCGAGTCATTCTGTTATCTTTCAAATCAGTGCTGTTGCACGAATCTGAAGTAGGCAAAGCCCTTACCTGAAATCCCATGGCAACATAGCTGAGAAGAAAGTCTTTATGTTGGTGTACTAAGCAATTGGTGTATTCCTCTCTAAGAGAACTTCAGCAGTTCTTGTACCTGAAAATCTTTCTTGGGCTTCAGAGCTGAGCTGCATTTAAAAATACAAAATGGCAAGGTATGAACGACAAGAGAAAATAAATTCATCATATTCGTATTATGAGGGTTGAAAGGAAGGAGAAGCTAAGTTAAGGCCCTAATACTTTCCAAAAGAATCCCAGCAAGTTATTTTTTTTTTATGATGTTTGTATGGAGAAATTATAAAATCCTGGTGAAAGAAAATGTTCCACTGTGCAAACATGACTTGTTACATAAAGAACCTCTAATAAAAATAGTAGCATTCCTTTACAAAGACTGAATTTGGAAACTGCCAAACATGATAAATACTTGGTCAAAAAGAAGACTGCAATTTTGTGACCTTCCCTCCCACAAATCCACAAATTTCTTTATTTAATTGATTTTTATTTTTTTTTTAATCTTGGGTGCAATGGGCTCCTTGTCAAGCCTGTTATAATATAGTATATTATAATCTGTTGATGCATACTACATACCATTAAAAGCAATCTGATTTACTATTGCTCACAATGATGCAACGTATTTTTAGCTATACTAGAAATGCATCATATTTCTATAATGTCTAAATTGAACCCAAAAGTGCCCAAGCATTGAAAAGGCCAAAGGCAACATGAACCTACATTCAGTAGCCTTTCTGCAGCAGACATCAACAGTTTAAATTCTGTTTCTACTGCTGCTATTTAAATGTACATATATGACATTAACATTAAATTCTTCTCCTCTGTCCGCTATCATTTCAGTGGGGAGAGGATGTGAAGGTAAACAAAACGGGGGAGGAAAGGTGAAATGGATACTTGTTACGTACAACAAGTTGATTGTCATTTATGAAGTTTCTAAATATTTATCTTCAATTGATGAAGAGTTAGTCATGCCCATGCTGCAAGACCTGGATCAGGAAGCAAGACTTCCCTAGAACTTTGAGAATCTTCATATCTGGGGGTTTGGTGCAACCACAGATGGAAGTGAAGATCAACCACTGGGTTTGCACCTGGATCCAGACAAGTTGTCCCCAAAACTGGGGATAGTTGGATCTGGCAGTTTGCTATGAGGCTAGTTGATTTTTATATATATAATGATCTGTATGCATTTTTACATTAAAAATATGAAAGCTTGTGCTTGTAGATAATATATAAGAAAAAATAAAAATAATTAAAAAAAAGAAGTGGTCTCTTGTCTCTTATGCATTGATCTTCCATTAGTTTTCTCTGAAGAGTTGTCTTCCAGCTTTTAAGGGGCCAGTTTCTGAAGTCCCAATTCAGTTTTTGTTAGTCTTTATCTAAGGAAAACAGTGAATTTTGCCTGAGTAAGCATTTCAGCATTTGGATCAGTTTATTTAATCATATTTGGTTGGTGAGTCTGGAACTGAGAGCTCAGGCGGCATCTACAGTGAAGCATAGAACCAAATGTCCTTACTAACTGATCAAAAAATGCTACAGCACCAGGGTTATTAAATTATCTCAGTGAAACCCACCACCCAGACTCTGCCCTGCCAGGTAAAATCCTGGGCTAAGTGGTCTAAGAGATCTATGCCAGCAGTCTGGACAACTGGCATCATGCCTT